AAAAAAAAAAAAAAAAAAAAAAAATTGGCTTTGGCCGGGAATGGTGGTTCATGTGTGTAATCCCAGCACTCTGGGAGGCTGATGTGGGCAGATTACTTGTGGTCAGGAGTTTGAGAACAGCCTGGCCAACATGGTGAAACCCTGTCTCTACTAAAAATACAAAAATTAGCTGGGCGTGGTGAAAGGCACCTGTAATCTCAGCTACTCAGGAGGCTGAGACAGGAGAATTACTTGGACCCAGGAGGCGGAGGTTGCAGTGAGCCAAGATTGCACCACTGCACTCCAGCCTGGGTGACAGCAAGACTCTGCCTCAAAAAATATATATAATAATAATTTTGTCTTGACTGATAAAATCTCAGACATTGGATCAAATTTGCTTTTTAACTTTGGTTTTAGCATTTAAAAAAACATCAGGTCATTACCACACCTAGTATCATCTAATATCTAGTCCTTGTTCATTTTTTCCTGTTGGTCTAAAAAGTTTTTTTTTTGTTGTTTGGTTTTTTTTTTTTTGAGAAGGAGTCTCTCTCAGTTGCCAAGCTGGAGTGCAGTGGCGCAATCTCGGCTCACTACAACCTCTGTCTCCGGGTTCAAGTGATTCTCCTGGCTCAGCCTCCCGAGTAGCTGAGACTGTAGGTGCTTGCCACCATGCCCAGCTAATTTTTGTATTTTTAATAGAGACAGGGTTTCACCCTGTTGGCCAGGTTGGTCTTAATCTCTTGACCTTGTGATCCGCCCGCCTCTGCCTCCCAAAGTGCTGGGATTACAGGTGTGAGCCCCCATGCCCAGCCTAAAAAAGTGTTATTCTTACTGATTTATTTGAATAAAGATTCAAACTGCGTATTTGATTTTTATAACTCTTAACTGTCCTTTAGAGCAGTTGCTGCTTCTATATTCTTTCCAATATTAAGTATTTTTTGAAGGGACTGTAGGATTTCCCATATTCTGGAGTTGGCTGCTTATATCTTTGTGGCATCATTTAATGTGTACCTCTGTCCCTGTATTTCCTGTAAACTGGGATTTAGATTCAGAGACTGGGTTAGATTCAGGCTCTTTCTGTTGGTAAGAATACTGCTTGGTGGGTCCCATGTATTTCCAGTTTTTTCACTTTTGAAGGAACTTGCTGTCTGGTTATAACTATTTTAGTGACTTAAGATTGATTTGTGAATTAGGTTTTATCAGCCTCTTTTATGCATTATGTTCATCAATTTTTACTTAGTAGCCTTAGCTGCCATTGATAATTGTGGCCAGTATCCATTATTTTGCTGTCTCCAACTTTTTTTGGAACAATACAAATAAGGTATTTTGCTGAGCAAAAATGCCAGAATATGGAAACTTAATTAGATTTCTAAGATGAAAAGATATATGGCACACGTGGTTCTTCTCATGTGTCCTTCTCATATATCATTTTACACGTTTATTGTGTATATGCCGTGGCAGGCACTGTGATAGTCACTGAGTTATATAACCATGAAGACAGACCCAGTGTTTCGCCCTTTGACCAAAATTCTTCCTTTTCCCTGCCGCTAATTACTCTCAGTGTTTTTGTCACAATGAACTAATTAATGTTCCACAAACATACTGTACTGTCTCTTAACCCTGGTGATGTATCTAAGTTGTTCCTTCTGCTTAGAATGTCCTCTCTGTCACCTCCGCTGCTCACTCACACGTCCTTCTATGCTGCCTCAAAGCTTGGCTAACTCACTTATCCTCCATATTTAAATTTAAATCTCTTTCTTCAGGAAGTCCTCCTTATTTCCTTAATATCCATATCATTACGTTTGTCTTACTGTGTTGAACTTGTCTGTTTACTCATCTGCATAACCCATTAGACTGAACTAATAGAGGCAAAAATTAATTTTTTTTGTCTGTCTTTTTCTCTCTAGTAACGTGTTTAGTTTTCTCTTTAGTAGCCTGCTGTGTTAGATATATTAATCCTTTTTATAATATTTCTTTTTTTATTTTTAATTTTTATTTATTTTTTTTAAGGCTAGTCAAGTGAAGCAGTGGGAGTGGAGAAGGAACAAAGAAGTCTGTACCTGGTTGTGATCAATTAGTTGTAAACACCACTGCACTTGGACCAGCCAATCCTTTTTATAATATTTCTAATAAGCTATTAATAAATATTATTTGTTGTATAGATACCCAATTCGTAATTAATATTTCATCCACAGTTACACTGTGTTAAAAGTGGAAGGACTAGGGGCCAGGCAGGGTGGCTCACACCTGTAATCCCAACATTTTGGGAGGCTGAGCCAGACAGATCATCTGAGGTTGGAAGTTCGAGACCAGCCTCATCAACATGGAGAAACCTTGTTTCTACTAAAAATACAAAATTAGCGGGGCATGGTGGCACATGCCTGTAACCCCAGCTACTTGGGTAGCTGAGGTAGGAGAATCGCTTGAACCAGGAGGCAGAGGTTTCTGTGAGCCAAGATTGCACCATTATACTCCAGCCTGGGTAACAAGAGCAAACTCTTTCAAAAAAAAAAAAAGCCGAAGGACTAAATGGAAATATATTAAAATAATAATAATCATAGTTATATTAGAGAAGGAGATTATGTGAGTTTTCCCCCCTATTTTTGAAATTAATGAGATTGTATTGCTCATTTTAAGGAAATTTTGGGTTATGAAAAACTTCCAAGGTAATTGGAATATATCCTTTAAAAATACCCTTTTATGTTAAAACATCATTTCTCATTGGTTTTGACCTAATTCTGGGTATACCCAGTTTCATTTATTTTTGTAAACCCCGAGTACTTCAGCTTCAGCCCTTAGTTGTAACTTGGCTTTATGAACTCACAGTGATCTAGCTGTTTTGCTTACCTCCTGAGACAATTCAGCTTACAAAAATGCAGTTCACATGGGCTTTAGTTTTTTGCGGCCTACTCTTTCCTATCCCGTACTTCCTAATTCGAGCTTCTGCTAGGAAGTTTAGTGAGTAAGGGCAGCGTCTTTTAGTTATTCCCTAGCACATTGTGACTTTGAATGAGAAAAGCCACCAGAAATGATCTAGAAGATAAACTGGTTACTGTACTTCAAAAAAGGTACTTAAAGATATATTTTAAAGGGAAATGGAAAGATTTTGGGGGATAGTTGGACATAAAAATTATAGGCCTTGTATTTTTTGAGTAACTACCTATATGCTAGATCTTGTACAAGCTACTTTCTTTTGGTTATCCAATTTAAACCTCATAACAATCTGAGGTTCAAAATGGAACCTTAGTAGTTTTAGGAAATGAGATTTGAGCTTAGACGTGTTTGGCCTCAAAGCCAAAGTTCTCAACCATTACACCCCAATGCCTCAAGCTTCTAATAGGATCTCCTTCTAGGCCAGGATATAATTGATTCTGGGATAGTTGGCACTGTCTTTAGGATAAAATCTAAAGTTCCTTCGCATGATATATTCTAAGGTTTTTTGAAATGTGTATCCCCACCTACCTGTCCCAATTGTGGATTATTCTGCAACTTGCTGTGCTTTCAGGGTTTTATACATGAAACTCCTCTCTAAAATGCTCCCCCCTCCTGCATTTTGCCTAAATTTTTCCTTTTTTAAAAAAACTCATTTTAGTCAATCATCTTAGGAAGACCGTCTTTAACCTTCAAAGACTGGGTTAGCCCTCTCTACAGAACATTTTGCCTGTTCCAGCAATTATTAGATATTATTGTATATATATCTTCTTGTATGTCACTTATGAATAATTTGAGCAAATAACAATGCTTTTATTCTTGCTTGAACCAAGGAGACGGAGGTTGCAGGGAGCTGAGATCATGCCACTGCACTCCAACCGGTGCGACAGAGTGAGACTTTGTCTCAAAAAAAAAAATTTGTTTGGTATTCTCTGCATTTAGCATAGTTCTTATCCAATGGTAGGTACTGAATATATCTTTGTGGAATGAAGGGATATTTCAATGAACGAACTAATGTTTTTAAATGTCTTTTTCCTTTCTTGTTGAAATGCAGAGCCAGGCTTTCGAGGACTGACTCCTCCAATTCCTTGGGAACATGCACCACGTCCCCATTTCCCCCTTGTCCCAGCTTCGTGGCCTTATGGTTTGCATCAAAACTTCATGCATCAGGGAAATGCCCGATTTCAGCCCAACAAACCTTTCTATACTCAAGGTACCATTGCTTACAAATAAGTTAACATGTTTGGGTGGGTTTTATTCTGGGATAGAGAGCCTTAGTGAAGGCCAGGATCTGGGAGTGAAAATTCATGAATTCAGTAAATATTTACTGAGAGATCATACTGTATGTCAGACCCTGCTAGGTGCTTGTTGCTCAAGCAAGAGTAAAACAAAAGCTCCATCACTTGATGCACATTTTCTTAGGAAAACCAGACATGTTAAATAGAAAAGGAGTTCAGATGAATCAGTTAACATTGCCTTAGCAAATCCAAATGGGATATGGATATGAGATTATTAATAATCACAAGATTTTGACAGTTGAGCTAGATCTTGAAAGAGATGCAGAAATGTTTTTTTGCCTAGCGATTAGAGAGGAGGAAGAGTATGCTTAGCTGAGGGATTAATATGTGTAGTCACTGAGTTTGCCTGGCATGATGAAGGACAGAAAATAATAGGGCTAGAGGATGGAGGTATATGAGAAAGTTGATGATAAGACTAGAGAGAGTAGGCTTTGACCATATTATGGAGTTTGGACTTGGTTTACTGAGCAATGGGGATCTAATGATGGAGTCTTGCTCTGTTGCCCAGGCTGGAGTGCAGTGGCACTGCCTCCCCAGGTTCAGCGATTCTCCTGCCTCAGCCTCCCAAGTAACTAGGACTACAGGCGCCCACTACCAGGCCTGTAGTCTTTGTAGTTTTAGTAGAGACGGGGCTTCACCATTTGGCCAGGCTGGTCTAGACCTCGTGATCCGCCTGCCTTGGCCTACCAAAGTCCTGGGATTACAGCTTGAGCCACCGCGCCTGGCCTGTTGAAAGGTTTTTAAGGGAACGAAGACATAATCAGATTTATTTAGTAAATGTTAGGACTTGAATGACATTTAAATTTGTTATGCTCTGCTGGTGCTATTGTAGTACTAGTAATGGCTTTGACTGGGTAATGAATATTATAAACTAAGAATTCCTAGAAACTTGGAGCATTTTATCTAACCTACTTGCTTCAGAAGTATTTGTTCTTATAGGCATTGTCTGAGTCTGGCCTTCAGCTCCTTGTTAACCTATTTCAGAATACTTGGGATCAGAGTCAGTATAGTTAAATGAGGAGTTTAAGAAGTTAAAACAGGCACTCAGGAAATGCCGAGTGAATGAAATGATAACTTAAAGGGGAGGTACCTGGTATGGTCTCAGGCTTGTTATATTTAAGCCTTCTTTTTTTTTTTTTAAAGGCGGAGTTCTTGCTCTGACCTCCAGGCTGGAGTCCAGTGGTGCGATTTCAGCTCACTGTAACCTCTGCCTCCTGGGTTCAAATGATTCTCTTGCCTCAGCCTCCTGAGTAGCTGGAATTATAGGCATACACCACCATGCCTGGCTAATTTTTGTATTTTTAGTAGAGACGGGGGTTTCACCATGTTGGTCAGGCCAGTCTTGAACTCCTGAACTCATTATCTGCCTGCCTCAGCCTCCCAAAGTGCTGGGATTACAGCCGTAAGCCACTGTGCCTGGCCTATTTAAGCTTCTTAAACCACCCATTTACTACTAAGGCATCCCTTTAGTATAGAGTGGCAGTGCCTTGTCTATAGTTGGGTTCTTCTCTTGAGCAAATAACTGGGGATAAGGGAAATTACTATTAGTCATAAGCCCTTTAAGGAGGGGAAAGTCCGTGGCTCCTCTCGAGTGAGTTTTTTCCCTTTGATTCTTCCTCTCCATCTTTCGTGTCCTCTCCTTTTTTCACATACACATATTTCCTTCCATCTTCCTTTTTCTCCCCACCCTCTCAAATGTTTTGGCATGCTTCATCTCCTCCTAGTATATAAAGAGAAAAAAAAAAGCTAGTTAAAAGTTAATTCTAAGGTGTTGTCAGATAAACAGGCACAAGCCTTTCAGTTTCCTGTCTGTGTTGTATCCAACAGACAGATGTGCCACCCGTCGGTGTAGAGAGCGTTGTCCCCACCCACCAAGAGGAAACGTGTCGGAGTAATGCGAGTCCATTTTCTTTCAGCTGGTCTACCGATGCACAGCAACCAGCCAATCCTGCTGTCTCAAGGGTATCCGTACCTCAATGTCAGTTACATTCAGCAGAAAAAGTGACATTTAATGGAAAGCAAAACAAATCAGGTCCTGATTTAAATTTTAACACATTTAGATAGCTTATTTAAATTCTAAGACTGTTTTTACAGACTGTATTATTTGTATATAAATATGAACTATAGTTTTTACTGGTATCACCAAAATGAGTGATACAAATTTCATCTATTTTATTACCCTATTTTTAAGGGAATTTTATGTTTTGTTTAACCTTGATGAATTGTATAAAGAGAGAATTTAAAAAATTACATTCTTTATTTTCTATTAGCTGTATTCATACTTTGGTTGCTTCAGACTTTATATATTGTTCTTAAGAGTTAGGAAAGAATTTCATGTGTTTTAAATTTGTCACTTCTATTCTTTACAGAACCTTGTAGTGCCAAAAACTTTTTAAAAGGTAAAAAAATAAAATAAAATTACAACATGAAGATTCAGATTTTTTTTCTTTTCCATACTTGTATATTGAACATTCAAACTTGAACGGAAAGTTGATTTTGTCTGTATTTGAAGTACTTCTATTTTAAGTTAATAAATCTTTTTGACAAGAGTCACATTTGGTTAATTCATCGTTGTATAGATGATGGAAATACAGTGTAACAAGATTTGTTTTAATTTCAGTGAATAGAGCATTCTAAATCACAGATTTTAGTTTTAGAGATTCAAGTATCATTTTATGTCCTATTTGGTTGGATTTTCACAACACCCATATGAGGTTGATAGAAGCAGAAGCCATCTCCATTTTATCTTTGAAAGTGAAAACTGAAACGCAAAGTGATAAATTCCAAAAAGCATACTTATATGCTGCAGTCTGAATTGAAACGTCTTTGGGAAGAGAGTTTTAAAACACGGAGACTAATATTGCAATTAGAGTGGAGGGAAGGTAAGTCTTTTTTTTTTTTTTTTTTGAGACAGCGTCTCTGTCACCCAGGCTGCAATGCAGTGGTGGGATCTTGGCTCACTGCAACCTCCACCTCCTGGGTTTGAGCGATTCTCCTGCCTCAGCCTTCTGAATACATGGGACTACAGGCACACACCACCACGCCCAGCTAAATTTTATATTCTTGGTAGAGACAGGGTTTCAGCATGTTAGTCAGGCTGGTCTCGAACTCCTGACCTCAGGTGATCCACCTGCCTCCCAGAGTGCTGGGATTACAGGCATGAGCCACCACTCTTGGCCCAGACTCTGTTCATTTTGAATCCTATACTTCCACCTGGTAAGCACACTTGCCAAGATGATAATTGTTTTCTAGTAATACTTGGGATTAATTATTATTGGGTATTGGGATTCAGACTCGAGTTGGTGGTGGCATAATTTTTCAGCTGTTTTAGCAGTGAGGTGAGGTAATTTTCTCTGGGCCCTTAATTAGCCCATCCAGTTACCTGGGGTCTTAAGCTAAATGATGCTATAGATCTATTTGGAAATGTGCAGAATAAGTAGGTAAAAATGTATTTTAGGGACAGTGTATTATCTTTGCTTTGCTCCCTGTGATACACATTACTTAAATAAGAGACTGCTTGGGCCCTTGCCATATTTCACAGCATGGAAAGATATTTGAAACCTATTGCAAGAGGTTGAGGGTATTCGTGCCGTATTTATAGCCCTGAGTTAAAGTCAGGTATATTTACTATTTTTTTTCTGATTAAAGCTTCAGCATCCTTCAGAATCCTGTTTAAGTGGTGGATTTAGATCATTTGTTTTAAGAAGATACCTGACCCAACTATGCATTTATGTTAAAATGACTTGGAGCATTCAAGATTTAAATTAACATTCAATACTTCACATCCTTCCACGTCTTGGAGAACAGGTAATGATGTATAACAGGGGTGTTTATTACTCTCTTTACTTTTGTACATACAGTAGGTCCTCCATATCCTTGGGGTTTGCATCTGTGGATTTAACTAACCATGGATTGCAGATACAAAAAAAAAATTGTGTCTGTATTGAACTTGCACAGTTTTTTGTTATTCCCTAAACAATGCAACAACTTTTCTTACAGAATTTACATTGTATGAGGCATTATATGTAATCTAGAAATGATTTAAAGTATAAAGAAGGATGTGCATAGGTTATATGCAGACTACACTTTTGTATCAGGGACTTCAGCGTCCTCAGATTTTGGTGTATCTGCGGGAGGTCCTGGAACTAGTCCTCCACCAGATACCAAGGAAGGATAGTATTTGAAATATTCATTAAAAAGAAAACAACTAGCAATAACAGAGAATGCCCCAACCCCTCAGCCTTTCTTAAGGAAGGCAATATAATACCACTTGGCAGAAGCTATTAACTGACAACCTAGTAACCAATAACCTAGATTTTACTGTTGTGATGGTGTTATAGATACTAGTTTTCAGCATCTCATTTGCCTCTCCTTCAGTAGGGGCAGTGTTCAACAATTGGCAAAACTGTTCTAAGTTGAAAAAGAGAATATAGTTTAAAATTGATACAGTAGAAGCTCACATTTTAAGTTTGCAAAGTCAGTTGAGTTCACATTTATTGTAAAGCAGTTAAGTAGAAAATTATCAATCTTATACAGGGAGAACACACACATTTAAGACCAAATTGTTTTTAAATGTTTTGTTTAATAATATGGAGATTATTTTCCCTTGACATTAGGATTATTAAAAATATAAATATTTATGATGTACTGTGTAATATATTTGTTTATATCCCCTACAAATGGACATTTTTGCTGTTCCCAGTTTTTCTCATATATATGTAACGTAAAATGATGGGATAAAGCTATTTGTGTGTACATGTAATTATTCTATTAGGGTGAATTCCTGTAAGTGGGATTACTGGGTAAAAGGATCAAAAGTTCTAAAGTTCCTGCTACAAATTGCCAAACTGCCCTTCATAAAAGTGGTTATCAATTTGTACTTCCAGCAAACAATATGTAAAATGTGTTGGTATGCTTATAAGAAAGCTTTTAACTATCAGCAACCCATTTTTTGCTTTGTAAAAATTAACATGTTTATTGCAAAAAGAAAATAAGCATTATGTAAAAGTACAAAGTATAAAAATCACTCAAAAGTTCATCAGCCAGAAAGAAGTACTACCTGGTGAACTTCATTCATTCCAACCATCCCTTAATCATATAGACACATATATACAAATAGTTTTACGAAAATGGGCTCATATGCTGTATTTTGTAAATGTAGCAAATTAAAAGGAAAACAAGTGTGAAACAAGAAATGCTCAACTTACTTTTTTCCCCACAAGAGAATCTAGTCTTGTAAGATTCCTCCTAAAACTAAGGACAGTTATGGAAAACAATAACAACGCTATTTTTTTCTAGTTTCATGTATCTTTTAATGAGAGTCCTGCTATGAAAGATGAAACCTGCATACTTTTATTTCTGTATAGACACAGTGTTCATAATATTTAACTTTGACCTTATAATAATTGCCTGTTATTTTTAAAATTTCTGACATGTTTACTAACATTCCTTTTACTGATTCTTTCTTAAGTTCTTAATTTGATTCATTTCTTCTTTAGTTGAATTTCATTATTGGGCAGTTTTTTTCCCAGAGGCTCATGATTTGTACTTCTAAGTTCTTACAAACTTGAGAACATCTATAGCCTTTGTATTTTAAGACAACTTTGGCAAAGTAGAAACTTTCTGGCACACTTTTTCTCAAGCCTTTGGAGCCTTTTGCTTCATTGCCTTCTTTTTATAAGATCTGAAACCATCCTGACCCCATTTAATTATTTTAAATCATTAGAATATTTCTCTACATATTTCTCTTTATTTTCCATTTTTTATTTCTTCCAGCCTATTTTCTCTGTGCTGTTTTGTGGTTTCTAATAAGGCCTTTAAACTCCACCGATCTTATTTTCCATCTCTTAATCACTTTTGAACGTGTGTGTGTGTGTGTGTGTGTGTGTGTGTGTGTGTGTGTATGTGTATGTGTGTTTAAGTCTGTTGTCTTTTTTGGGTCTGTGGAGAATTTCAAATTAACCTGTTCGAGGGAGTGGGCAATCTGTGACAATTTTCTAAATAATGCTTAAACTTCAGTCAGTCTACTTAAGAGTAACAGGAAGAGAGGTTAGAGGAATGAACTTTTAAGTTGGGTTGTTATATTGGAACCCTCTCACCAAATCCATTATTTCTTCTGCCCCTTGGAACACATTTCCCTTAATTTCTTAGTATTAAAAAGTGATTGTGCCCTATGGCAAAGCTTTTAAGGCGGTATATTTCAAATTATTGGAAGTACAATCAATTAAGTTTTGGATGCAATAAATTAATATTTGCATCCAATATTAATATTGGATGTAATTAAGTTAATATTTGCATCCAATATTAAAAACTGTTACCGAGTAGGAAATACGAGAATTCACTTTGCATAATTCTTTCCTTAAATTTGTCTTAGTACAGAATATAGATATGTGTATACAGAGGTAAGATGCAAAATAACTTTTTAAATGTATGCTGTAGTCAAAAAGTTTAAAATGCTTCGTTCATAGGCAAGCACATAGATGACAGAAATAGCCTTACAGCAAGGTTTGTCCTTAAGCTCCATCTCCTGTGTAATTTTATCAAAATGACATCTAGAGATATTCAACAAGTTTTACTCTTACTTCCTAATTAAAGAGTAGGGACATTCTCCTTCCTGCTATTGGTTGGCTGTGGTACCTCACATTTTACCGTATGTCTAAACAAGTATATTTTATTTAATATTTAGGGAGATTTATTTCTTTTACTAAAATTTGTTGCATCTTTGTGTGTTGGTTTATTTTTACTTTAAATGATATTTTAAGATAAAGTTTTATTTTTGATATGGAGTCTTGGTTTGTTGCCAGGCTGTAGTGCAGTGGTGTGATCTTGGCTCACTGCAACCTCTGCTTCCTGGGTTCAAACAATTCCCTTGCCTCAGCCTCCCAAGTAGCTGGGATTACAGGCAGGCGCCACCAAGCCCAGCTAATTTTTTGTATTTAGTAGAGACGGGGTTTCACTGTGTTGGCCAGGATGGTCTTGATCTTCTGACCTTGTGATCCGCCCGCTTCGGCCTCCCAAAGTACTGGGATTACAGGTGTGAGCCACTGCACCCAGCCTAATTTAAAGTTTTAAGAGTGTACTAGATGACAGCTTGGTTGTTCCATGGTCATTTAGCCAAAAGACATTTCTATCTAAATCACTTTGATAAAGAAATAACTGCTAGGATACTGTAAAGCATTTACGTAGAGATGGCTATATTTAATTTTAAAAGGTAGTCCTATATAGTTGTATCAGAAACCATAAGAGCTCTTTCAGACTTTTACTAACTCAGATGTTATGAATCACTGAATATGAAAGCTCAAATAATATTTAAAAAAGCTTTAATATTGCTGCAGAAGTCTTTCAGTTCAAGAGCAGGCAATAGAATGCATTGAATGTTTACCTATGACCAGATATAACTTCCCAAGAAAAACTGGATCCTGTAGGACAGCTGGTTTTCACAGTTCCTGCTGGGACTACAGTTGCAGGAAGTCAGTCACTTTTTTTTAAGGGAGTTAAGTACTGGTAAAAGGAATTCTTCTAGCAAATATCTCATCTCTTGATTATCAATGTCCGTGGCGACTTTTTAGTCCTAACTTTGCTTCTGCATTCTTGACCCTTAGCTTCCTTCACCTACTCTCTCCTAATTCTCCTGTCTTTCTGAATGGGTCATTCCAGTACTTCTTCCTGTCACCAGTGTTGCCTATGGTTCTCTTGTGTGCTTTTCTGATATAAACACTCTCTTGGCAGTCTTAATGACAGATTCCACAATTACTTAAAATATTGTCAATTCTGGCCTATACCACTATGTTAAACTCTGGTCCCTATCTCCAACTTTATGGGCTTTTTTTTTAAGCTATACCATAGCTGTCTCAAACTTGTTAAACTGAATGCATCACTTTCATTACTAGCACAATCCTCTAATTCTCTGCCCCTCTAAAAGCTTCTCTTCCTGCTGTATTTTCTGACTTTGTAAATGGCACTCTTGTCTAGCAATTTAGATCAAAACCATGACTAGTATTAGATACTTTGCTCTGCATCAAATCTTTTTCAATCCTGTTACCCTACTGCTAACGACTAGTCCTGTATAATGTCAATGCTTATATGACAGGCTGGATAGCTTAACCTGGATTTCAAGTTTGTGGGCAAGAACCAATGGAACTATGAAAAAATGGGCTGTATAAGGGGTATTAAGTACCACTCTGTTGAACTGTTCGATGAAACTGGCTTTAATGATCCAGAAGAAGCCTTACATTTGAATGCATTCTGTTCTTTCAAAACTGCTAACCAGTTTTCATGTTTACCACCACTTGCTGCTGCTGGAAAAATGTTAGGAGCTACTATGTTTTACTCATATCTTTGAATAATAGCAGCAGCACAAATCCCAGGATTCTCAAAGCAGTTCCAACCACAGCAAACCAAAAACTAAATGACAGAGAAATGGGAAACAGATGTGTCTGGTTTAATAAAAAGGGGAAGGGTCATCAGGTGGCCATATCCTTTCCTTGTCATTAATATCCTCAACCTACAGATCCTTTCTACCCTTGTAAATCTGAATAAAGTCAAGGTTACTTGGGTCAAAAACTGATGTTAATGATGATTAAAAAGAGATACAAAACTCAGCACCTCCTTCATTAAAAATAAAGGTTGAGAAACTTTATAAGAAAAAATTAAAATATTCTTGTAGCTGCCTGGGGAGTTCTTAAGCCTTCCACATAGACAGATATCCTCATATCCACAGGAGGCCATGTGGACTACAACCAAACCGAGTCCATTACTCATTCCCTCTCCGGCTCTTCTTGTGGCTCTTCTTAGACCTGAAATGGCAACACATATAAATAATTACATTAAGGATCTGGGCAAGGACTCCTGAGAAGAACCTTGGCGTGCTGACACTAATGGGGATGGAGCTAACAATCCATATTCATTAAACTACTTGGTGTTTTTTTGATTCGGAGCAACACTCTTGAATCAGGCATTACTATCCAAATTTTACCATTGAGGAAATCACCTCTCAGAGGTTAAGAGTGCACCCAAAAGTATGTGGCACATGGGGGTTTCTAATGAAATCTTTTTTTTTTTTTTTTTTGAGACGGAGTTTCGCTCTTGTTACCCAGGCTGGAGTGCAATGGCGCGATCTCGGCTCACCGCAACCTCCGTCTCCTGGGTTCAGGCAATTCTCCTGCCTCAGCCTCCCGAGTAGCTGGGACTACAGGCACGCGCCACCATGCCCAGCTAACAACTGTTAAGTTTTAAAAGTTGGGACTATTCTAGATACAGAAGGATAATGAATAAAATGATAATAAAAATAAAATACAGAAGGATAATGAATAAAATAATAAAAATAAAATAAATAAAAGTTGGGACTAAACTCCATGCCTTCTAAGACCAAAGTTCATCCATTATCCAAAGCTGCAATCCTGTAAAACAAAACAAAATGGGTATCTTGCTTGAACCCAGGAGACGGAGGTTGCAGTAAGCCAAGTTCACGCCATTGCACTCCAGCCTGGGCAACAAATGCGAAACCGTCTCAAAAAAAAAGGGAATCTAACCCCAGTAATTCTCAAAGCAATAGACCAATTTCATCTTGCAATTAAGAATTCCTAATATGCCCCAACAAAACAAAATTTCAGGTCCAATTAGTTATAATTGGGACTTTTATTTCTGAATAAAGTTAAAATAGAGGTCAATTCATTACCTTTCAGGAGACTTTGAGTGGCTCCTGTGTCTGTGACGGTGATGACCTGAGGAAGAAAGGGCCACTGTATGAGATCCTACCCTTCAATTCTTATTAAACTGCCATTCTTAACTCTCTAATGTCTGCCATTGGCTTGTTATTTTTTTGGCCTATGCAGGGGACACCTCTTAGTGGTAGCAACTCTCTGAATTAGTGAAGTTAGTGAAGGAAGAGGGAGCAAAGAAAGTAGTCATGAAACCAGTTCAAATACAAATACATTCAAGGGCTTTATGGCTTATTTCACAAACATTATATTGGGTTTTCATTACTATGTTAGATCTTATTCCTGTAATTTCACATGAAAAAACAGAAGCAAACCTTATCAGCAAAGCTTATAAAAGTGACAAGCTGTGAACCTTAATTTTCAAATTCTATGTCCATTTCCTTTTCTGCTAGGCAGTACAGTCAGGCACTCCTGTACTGTAGGAGGCTAACTGCTCCTTTTACATTTCTTTTGTTAAGAGAACTTGTGGCAAAAGGCCCAAATGCTCTACCTGGGGACTTGGAACGGGATCTGTGCCGCCGATCTCGGGACCTGCTGCGGTGACGTCTTGGACTCTTGCTCCGATGCCTTTCTCGACGGGGGGAGGGGCTGTAGAAAAGACTGGTCAGACTACCAGATCTGGTTAGCAATATAAATAGAATACCAATACCACCCTCACTCCCCAAAGCCCTGTCCTTTATCAAAATGACTGAAGGCCTACCTTCTCCTTTTGGGAGATCGGCTTCGCCTATAAAGAGAGGAAGAAGAAAGCCTAGGTTGGCGCACTGGATGTTGCAGATTGCAAAAACGGCCCCAATTTTATTCTTCACCCTTCTCTGTATCACCCTTCTCTGTATCCATGTCTTTTGTCATGTAACACTAGCACACTCCCATTCTAACTTTAGGACTGGCCACATGACTTGCTTTGACCAACGGGATATTTGCAAATGTGATAAAAGCAGATACAAGAAAAACATCTGCATGACTGGGTTTGTTTGCTCTTGAGTTCTGCCAGTACCGTGAAAAGATGCCCATCTTTTCCTGCTGGAGGATGATAAAGAGAAGAGAAACTTCCCCCGTCATCCTAGCTAAGGTGATCCTATAGCAGCCAGCAGACAGCTAACAACAAAACAGGTACTTCAAAAATTGCCTATCCAAGCACTGCTTAAATTCACTGACCACAGACTTCTGAACAAAACAAACGGTTATTGTTGTCTGCCAATGAGGTTTTATAGGTGGTTGTTGCAATAACAGATAACTAATATACTGGGCAAACATTCTCCATAGGCTGTTATTTTTCCTTTTCTAAAATCCAAACTTCTAGGCTATAGTGCCAAAATGTCCTGGGAAAAGGCCAACGACTAAGGCTTTACCTTCTGGGAGACCGGCTCCTACTCCTTCTGTAGCGCAGTGTGGGAGAGCGACGGGGCTTGTCCAAGTCTCGGTAGCTTCTCCGACGGTGATCAGGTGATGGGACTCTTTCCAACTGGAAACAAGATGGCTGGGTCATTGATAGGCACAAGCTCATAAGGAGCCACTAGAAACGCTAATTATACTTTGCTGCACATCTTGTCTCCAAGTCCATCTCCAAGTGACTTTAAAGCACAGTGATCTGACTACAAAGAGGGAAGCACTTACCCTATTAACTAACAAAACTTCCTATGAGCTATATAGGAACAGAAGCAGAGTGTGTGTGAGTGAGTGTGTGAGAGAGTGTGTGTGTGTGTGTGTGTGTGTGTGTGTGTGTTTTGTAGACATGGTGAAACCCCATCTCGACAAAAAAAATACAAAAATCAGCCAGGCATTGTGGCATGTGCCTGTAGTTCCAGGTACTTGGGAGGCTGAAGTGAGAGGATAGCTTGAGCCTGGGAGGCCAAGGCTGCAGTGAATCAAGATTGTGGCACTGTACTTCAGCCTGGGCAACAAAGTGAGACCCTGTCTCACAAAACAAAAACAGAAGTTTTATCTGGCTGCTTCCTGAAACAACTGGGCAGCTTGGCTGGTTTCAACTTTTCAACATTGTAACTAGTACTGAAAAAACATGACTAAGTTGAAATTTTCCCCCTCCTAAACAAGGCTTATTACTGAGGACAAGGGCAATTATGACAAGTGTTATTTCTTTCCAAGTATTTAATAGTTGCCACCACTTATTAGGCAATTATAATGTGCCAAAAATATGCTAAAGGCTTTATGTTTATCATCTTATTTAATACTTTTAACAGTCTTGGGAGAAAAGTATCATTAACCTCACTTTACATAGGAGAAAACTCAATTTAATTTGTGTAAGATTATACCACTAGTATGTAGCAGAGCTGAGATACTTTTAATAAGAAAATATTGTTTTTGGTTAAAGAATTAAAAAAAAATTTTTTTTGAGACAGAGTCTTGCTCTTGCCCAGGCTGGAGTGCAGTGGCACAATCTCAGCTCACTGCAACCTCCGCCTCCCAGGTTCAAGTGATTCTCCTGCCTCAGCCTCCTGAGTAGCTGGGATTACAGGTGCCCACCATCACTCCCAGCTATTTTTTTTGTATTTTTAATAAAGACAGGGTTTCACCATGTTACTGAGGCTGGACACCTGACCTCAGGTGATCCGCCCACTTTGGACTCCCAAAGTGCCAGGATTACAGGTGTGAGCCACCACGCCTGGCCAATAGAGTTAAAAATTAAAGTCTAGGTGGGGCACGGTGGCTCATGCCTGTAATCTAGCACTTCGGGAGGTCAAGGCAGGTGGATCATGAGGTCAAGAGATCAAGACCGCCGGGCGCGGTGGCTCACGCCTGTAATCCCAGCACTTTGGGAGGC